TGAGGAAAATACTGGCACTATAAGCTGTGTATGCCTTAATAAATGTAGCGATTCATTGTACACCAGCGTACAGAGGACAAAATGTAACTACCAGAAAGGGCAGCTTGCAGGTTGATAAATATACTCAAGATAGTAACTACTCAGATAGATTTGGCGTGCTTACTCTCTCTTCTTAAGTCTGCGGAGGAAAAACAGGGGATGTGGTAGCCATCGAAAAATCCCTCCTAAAACCGAGGTTGGAATATAACCCTTGAGTATTTCGTCCTACTATGGCCGGATGAAAAGAAGCATAAACGAAGTGAGTGAAGAGAACACAAAGCCAGTAGCATAGACTGATACAAAGGGTTCTTGACATTTAGCATTCCTTGCCTCATGTTCGTTGGCAGTGTACTGTGGCGACGCACTAAAATTTGAATCGGAAATGTAACCAGAAATGTGGCGTCACAGGAATGAATGTTGCAGAGGCTGGGACAGGCTTTATTAATTTGACTTTCCCTGCCTCAATTCTGATCGCNCTTTATTAATTTGACTTTCCCTGCCTCAATTCTGATCGCTTAAATTATTGTTCAAAGTTAACAGGGGTGTTGATTTGTAGTAACCAAACCGAAATACATCTATTTATTCCATCTCTTAGGAGAATTTAGTCGGTAAAATTCAAAACGAATAAAATTTAGTATGACAGCGGAGAGGGTGGTATCAACTTGGCTATTAGACCAATGAGTGTAAGAAATAACGTCTTTTGTGTCGATTTCTTTTGAAATACAGTGACTGCAAGAAAGCAGATATGGTTTTCTAAACCCCTGAAAAATACTAATTTCATACTGGACCATTATTGACTTACCATTGGTTTGATGGACTGGTGATGATGGACTGATGACTGGACAACCACCTGAGTTACCGTGCTACATTCGTCTGTTATATATACTCTTTCAAAAACCAGGTATCACTTCTTTGTTCGGGAATGGATCGTGTGGACGTCACATTCGCAGGAAAGTAGCTCGGGAACTGAATTGGTTTTGCTGGTATTAGTAAAACCAGGGAATAAACTTGTAACACTGAATTTCTGTCAACAAAACGTAAGGTTGTAGCCTATGCTTACAATAACCTGTTTTAGTGCACTCGTTCCACTTATACTTGCTGACTTTTTCCTTGGATAGGTTTTGCGTTCCAATTGCAAAATGGTTCTGATAGATTTAAGCCTTCATCGAATGAAGGTTTTAGTGTATTTTTGATATCAGTCTTGCTCCGACTAAATCAATAACAACTCGAGTTCTGGAGCTTGTTCAGGAGGAATCTCGTTGGCTTTTGTACATACGTTAAGAAAAAGCCCATTTTGTTTTCCTTAAAAGGGTAGTTGCATAGCTTTTGACACTTGCTGAACCCCTGTAACGGGGTCCACAATCGATCAGTTTTGTGTGTTTATGCATCAATGAATATTAGGCTGGGGAAAACGTGGAACGTCTCGAGAAGTAGGGTTACAAAAATCACTCTTGGCATTAAAATGCAAATTCCAGTTCAAATTTGCCATTTATTCAAAACATCCACCTCTGTGCAATTCGTTAGATAGTTGGTATCAGATCGATATTTTACCCAGTTTGCAAACCGATGATCTATATCATCTATTTATGTAATTTCGTCTCCATTTGTCTAATATTGTTGTTAGACTATCGATTTCTTGCATATTTTGAAATTAGGTTTTGTCTGCCGAGTTTGACGAGGATGAATACTCCTTTCTGCTTACTGTTCAACTTGAAAAGCCAGGGGCACCAAAACGCCGAAAACCGCTCAGAGAAAGAATACGAGAACAAAGTGCTCCTCGTAAATCTCCCGATATGGAAGACACAAAACCTGTGAAGGAAACCAGACCGACAACGGCAAAGAGTGAGCAGGCGACCGCATC